AATAAATCTCTCTAAGCTATCGTGCTGGCTTTCTTGGTTATGAATATGCCCAGATCTCATTATCTGTAACATTCTCAGCCACCTGGGAATAATGAGGGAGGTGGTTGGTCATCTGTGAAGGAAGGATCACAAACTCCACCTGGGTCTTTTAGCCACCCAGGCTTCAGCTGGGTAAACCAAACAGACCAAAAATGTTACACAAGGTTTTTGGCTGTTTCTACTAATTTTTTTTTGGACCCCCATACTGGCTTCAGGAGTTATATATGACTGAGAAACTGACACTGCAAAATTCTGGCTTGTTCCCTGCCTGATGCTAACAGATAAATATAGATCTCAACCACTACAGAAATTTGGCCAGGATTCCAAGGGGTGTTTGTGTGTGAGGGGCAGAGACTGATGGGGGCCATTCTGACATGTGGGTGAGAAAAAGGCTTTGCTACGTCCAAGACCCTCTTTGGGGTGGGAAGGGCAAAGCAGGAGTCTGGCCCCTAAAATCAGAATGCATAATCCACATTTTAAGGGGCTCATATATTGACACAAATAAGGAATATTGTAGGTGGCTTGATAGGGATGGGGGATAGAGCAAAGGGAAATCTTTCCTGACATCCTAGAGCCTTTTGCATGAGATCAGCCTTATGAAAAAAGAAAGTTATTCTTGGTCATCTCCCCTCACCCTCAACTCCCACCCACGCCCCACCCCCTGAACACACTGATATCCAATTCTCAATTGCAAACAACACGACTTAAGATTTCCATGGGGCCCATAGTGTCTCAGGCACTGGAAAAGGGCAGGGGGTGGGAAGAGACACGTTAGAAGGGGTTTGAGTAGCTCATCCTCGTGACCTAGAATATATCCCCCTCCCTGCAATGATGAGCTTGCTTTTCCATAAGGGCTTTTCTTTGATTCAGGGAAGGGGCCAGCCAATGAGAGAGGGGCATGTTAGATTATTTTGGGGAAGGGCTCATGCCAGGAGGGTTCACTTTTACTAGGCGCCAAGTGTCCCCAGCAACCAGTGTCTCCTGTACAGCAGAAGCTCCAGAACTCTCACCCATTTGTCTGCCTCTGCCGCGTCTTTGCCCACTGAACAGCTATGAGAAGGCAGCTCCGGTCCAGAAGGGCTCCGGCCTTTCCTTACGGTTATCGCCACAGACTTGTGAGTCCCAGGGCAGAGAATATTTTGCGGTCCCTTTTTAGTGGGGTGGGTTGGGGGTTGTATAGGTCTTGGCTGATGGCTGCTTCTCCTTGGAATGGGCCGGAATAGTGAGGTTTAAGGAAGTCCATAATCTCCAGAGCTACCAGTGACTCCCAGCACGACACTACAACCTAAAGTGCTGGACAGAAGGAGGAAGCCCCTCTTTCTGTGGAACAAAGATAAGGAAGGAGAGGATGCCAGAGAATAAGAGGCCTTCTAAAATTTTTTTTTGGCAGTCTCGAATTTGAACAGACCTTTTGGAGTTTAGGAGTAGAGGTTTCATTCCGACAGTAGGAAATTTAGCCAAGAGAGAAGGGAAGAGGAAAGGCAAGGCACTGCCTACCCAGCTGTCTCAGTCCCTCTGGGTGGTAGCTTCTTCAGCACCCAGCTGCTCCCTTTGTAAACCAGAATTCCAAAACGGAGCTTAAATCATAGAATCATAGACGGAAGCTAGAAGTAATCCTAGACAGCACCTCTCCAGAACCTTCATTATGTAAAGGAGGCGGCTGGGGCCCAGGGCACAGGAGTGACTTGCAAATTAGTGTAGGAGCCAAAGTGAGAATGCAAGACCCTCACTTCCCATCGCGTGCTCTTTCCATTATATCTGCTGTATGCAACTCCCTGACCCTCTGATCCTCTGCCACCCACTGGCACCCCATCCTGCCCAACACACACACACACACACACCTCTGATGTCAGCATTTAACTCCAGAGTGTATTATGAATTTCTTTGAACCCCAAATTTCTTTGCATTTGCTTTGCTATAAATCATTAATATGCCATACACAGTTCTGTTTTGGGACAGGGAGGTGTATTCTAAAATCTCTCCCAGAGAGGATTGATTTCTGACCCCGAGGAGGAAACAAAGCTTAATCCATTTTACTTTGGGAACAGTCACTTACATAACCAGGGAGTTAAGTGAAGACGGTCAACAACCAGCAGAGTAAAACATGAATACTTCTAACCCCAAATCAACATACAAAGGGCTTCCCTTTACTTTCTAGCCACAATTTGTAGAATCTTTCTTTTGACAACCCTGAAGTCCCTTCCAGCTCTCAGAGCAGTCACAATCTGTAGGGCATATAGAACTATTCCTTACTTGGCTTCTTTTCTATGTAACGATGCCGAAATATTGTGCATAATTTCAATTATTTGTCAACTGGTTTCGCTTTTAAATGCTTTGGGGGATCTTGCTCTTTATAGAAAATACTTGATCAAATTTAAGAAGAAATTATTTGATGCAGTGAATAATCATATGCTATTTTCTCTTTTAAAATTAACCAACTATTCGAATGTTTACAGGGTATTACTCAGTGCAGGGCACAGATTTATCCTTCAGGTCAGACTGTTTGTCTATATATTTGTTTGTATGTTTATATATTTAGAGTGCTCAAAATGGAGCCACCCTCTGCCCTTCAGACTCTTCCCTTTTAGGGCAACGAGAGGGCTCCAGACACACCCAGTACTATACCCCAGCACACTCACACACGCTGTCACAAGAGGGCCATGCCACTTTAGGAAACTAACAAAAACAGACCCTCTCATTACCAAAGGATTCCCTAGTGGATTCCATTAAATAGCTGCACAAAACTGCATCTCTCTGCACAATGTGAGGTTCTCCTACACCTGGAAAGAGAGGAGAGGAAGAAAGATATTTGAGGCTCCTGAAGCTCAGGCAGTGTCCCATGGGGAAATTAGCTCTGAGAAGGTTAATTCTTCCTGGGAGGGTAAAGCTTTAATGACAAGCCATCTTTAATGGTATTATCAGGAGAGCTCAGATCTACAAATAAGATCAGGCTGAGGCCAAGGCCAGCTGCCTCTGTGGAACAGAGGTGGAGGGCAGGCATACAGTCAACAAGGAGAGGAAAGCAAGTTGTTCAGAGAATATAAAGGGAATATAAATTCCTCCATGATGAAATGTTACACTTCAAATTCTCTGGGGGCCATGACACTATCCACTCTGGTCCACATGACTGCTGAGGTTAGACTGACAAGCTCTGTGAGAGTATTCCCCCAGCATCCTGGTTCAGGAGTTTTAAGTTGGGCAGTTGTCACTGACATTATTTCAGTATCTACTGGTTACCTAGCTGCAGGCTCCACACTGTAGAGGGCCATTAAGGAGTTAGAAAACATGGACTCTGCCCCCTGGGTGCTCAGAATGTAGTTCAGGAAGTCAAATGTGTACATATGTTCACACACAAGTAAAACGGATTTAAGAACATTTTCTAGTCCATTCAGAATTGAGTGATGGGGGTTATTCTCCTAAACCTTACACTGTAAGTCCACATCAGAGTCAGAAATCCTTGATTATAAGCGCATACAATCTTTTGGGAATGCAGACTCTAACATGCTGTTGTGTTCCATAAATCTGCTAAACAACCCACCTCTAGGCACTTGTGCCCAATGTGATAGAGGAGAAACATCATTCATTGTCTGGGGTATCAAGAGACATTGGTTCTGAGACTGTCAACTCATCATGAAGTGGCTGTGCGGCTTTGGCTAGCTCCTGTCCCTTCTCTGGGCCTCAGGTGGACAAGTGAATCTTCAGGGTCCCTGTCAGTCCTGATAGAGTGTGTGATATAAAGCTGTACGAACAAATTAGAGAGCCATTCAAGAGTGCTTATAATCAAGAGCTAGACAGCACTGGGCAGACTGAATGCTGAGCGCAGAGTCTTGTCATTCTGTGTCGTTTTTACGGATTCTGAACAATCCAATTTTCTGAGGTCCCCTTCCCCCACTAATGGCAGCATTTTTAGCTGAGTGCCCTCTAAATGGCCTTTGAGGAATCAGGCAGGGAGGGGCAGCATGGAGCCCTTGGCCTCTATCATTTGACACATCCAACCCCAACAGGTGCACAGGCCCCACCACTCTTCAGATTTGGACAGCAGAGAGAGGGGAGGGTGGCCTCATTTTCTGCTGCTGCAGTGAGCCTTGGCAGATCCACAAAGAGCAAAGATCCAGCTCTCCAGCCTGTGGCTGGGAGATATTTGAAATACCGTTTGGTGAAGTCTGGTGTTCTTTCTTTTTTTTTTAATTTTCTTAGAACCACTCAGAGAAGATTTTAGTTTCAGATCTCAAGTAATGGCTGCAATCAGTCTATCAACAAATACGTGCTGAACACTTACTGCATGCCCAGATTCACCCAGTTGGGAGTGGGGAGATTAAAGAAGTGTCAGTTGGGTTCCCAGCTTTCAGGTGGTCTGTTTAACCAGCTTAAAGCAGGAAGAGTTTCCAGCAACAGTCAGAGAAGCAGCAAATTACTCACCCTCACTTGTTTCTGTTGGGAAGGCAGTCTAAGTTTTGAGGAGGGGTGCAGCAGCTGGCCTCTCCTCCTGGTATTTGACCAGGCTATTTCCAGCCACAGCTTAGGATGGTGAGGTTGAGGTGTACAGGGTGTTAGGATGAAGCTGGCTTGGACTGAGGATTTGCCCTCATGGACACAAATGTCTAAAATGACTCCATCCTCCAGTGTTGAGCTCAGCTCCCCAGTGACAAGGTGGACAAAGTTAGGCCGGAGGCCAATGCCCCAGGGCAGAGTAGTGACACGAGAAGTCCTAGGGGAAGCTGAGAATAAGACATGCACCTCTCTGGAAAGAATACTTGGTTCGAATGGGTCATAGAAAGGATATTTCCTCTAAAAGACAGAGAGAAAGAAAATCTGCCACTTACAACAATGAGTATGCTTGTGGGGAAGTGGAAATTTGAAGCATCTCCAAATATTGAGTCGTTTTCCATTTATTTTTGGCTGGTGGGTGAGCCATTGGAAATTTTTTTCAAAACGGGGATTGTGTTTTGTCACTGCTCCAGGATGATCAGGATGAAGTGAACCAGAACTACTTAGCAGATGAAGCAGCAGCAGCAGAAGAGGCTCGGGTGATGATGGCACCCAATTTGGAGGAGGAGGAAGAAGACAAGGAAGAGAGAGAAGAGGAAGAAAAGGAAGAAGAAGAGGGTCAGGGTGAGCCAACAGGCAATGCCTGGTGGCAGAAATTACAGATCGTAACTGAATACTTGTGGGATCCGGAGAAAAGGATGTCTCTGGCCCGAACAGGTCAGAGTTGGAGTAAGTCCCAGTCGTCCCAATGCCCCAGTCGGGTGCCCTTTGCTTTTGGCTTGGCGTCCAGGACTCCTTTACCATACGCTGGATGGGCTTGTCTGCAAATTTCTCTTAGGTTTAATGTCAAGGGATCAATGCCCAGGGAAATGCCTGGACAATGGGCAGACCCCATCAGAATAAACTCAAATGGGTGAATGAACGTGACTATAGAGCTGAAATCCACTGGGCTCAATATCATCTGCAATGCAGAGAGGCAGTAAGAATGAGTTGAAAAAGCACAGAATTTTTTACATGTCCCAGCCCTGTCACTATCATCTTGCACTCATCATTTACCCTCTCTGAACCTCAGTTTCCTCACCTGCCAAATGAAGGAAACAATCCCTGCCTTGCTCCTCTCACAGGATTAGCCTGAGGCTCCAATAAATGTTAATATTGTAGAGTTGAAAGTACTATGCAGACTATTTCTAATATATGAGACCCACGTCCCTGTTAACCCAGCCAAGGGGTTATAAAACTTTATCATTTCACTTAGTAATGTCAGAGAAGGGAAAGCAAGGAGGCCTGCCCTTGGCCCCAGCTTGTGGGGCTTTCTGCTCCCATGGTGTACACAGAAAAATTCGGTTTAAAGGGATTACTTCCAGCAATTAAGGCTGAGCTCCCAATCTTGCTTGATCATGGCAGACTGCATTCCTTACTTAGCATTTCCCCTTTATATCACAGGCTGCCACCACTTGTACTTCACAATTTCCCCAGCACTTCTCTCCTAGGGTCCTACTCACCTCCTGAAGTATTAATGCTGAGCCTTCTCCTCAGGTCAGGAGCTTTAGCCGGTGGTAAGATTTACACTTGCCACGCTCTCCACAGTCCAGGAAAAGGGCAGCTGCTGGTTTGGAACTCAGCAAACCCACTGGGGAAGGAAAAAATAGATGGCTCTTTGGATGAAAGGAGAGTCCCCAATGCCAAGGGTCTAGGCTGCTGAAGTTGATGCTCATGCCTTCTTCATAAAGGCCACTTTGGCTGAGAATTCTCTCCCTTGTAGATTATGTTCTAATTCAGCTCTGTCAGGGTGAAACAGCCAGTCCTGCTTCCTGGAATTAGGAATAGCAGGTGGGGAGCTCTGAACAACACCCACCTCCCTTCACCCCTCCTCAGTTCCGAGCCCCACCCCTGCCTGTCCCTCGAACTCTCAACTGGAACAAATGTATCATTCAAGGAACATTCCAACATTCTGCAAGCTGCAGACAAATGCTGGACACTCTTTGGGGAGGGGAGAAGGCTTCAAAAGGGGCACAGCTGTTTCTCCTTTGCCTAAAAAGGACAGGAAAAAACAGGCCTTGTGAAAAGCAAGTGTGATTCCGGGAGAGGGAACTATACATTAACCCCTAAACAGCCAGCCATTGGAACTTCACCAGATGAGTTGATCCAGATTGCCTCTGTGAAGAACAATCCATAGGCCAATAAGTGGGGATGAGGGAGGAAGGTTCAAGTGCCCAGGGAAGACACGGCAGTGGGGACACTGAATAGTAGGCCATGTCAAGACTTCTAAGTAGCTGGTCTAAGGAGAGTCTGGGAACTCATGCTTCTGCTGTTGGGCCACCCCTGGGCAAAGGGCAGTGATGTTAATGCCTGGGCCACCAAGCATATGCTTTGCTGCCTGCCCTCTTGCTTGAGAACGAGGTGCCTACTTGAGCACTTACTAACCCTGCCCCAGCCTGGACATCAACATGACCAACATATTTACCCAGCCTATTATTATATTCTGGGCTTTTTCTTTAGTAGCTGGGCACCCTTTATTCCTAGGGACTATATGTTATTTTTTTGAATACTGACAAGAACCATATGAGGTAGCAATATTATTATCCCCATTTTACAGATGCAGAAACTGAGGCTTAGAGAGGGTAAGTAACTTGTTTAAAGTCACATAGTTTCTCAGTGGCAGCAGTGGGATTCAAACACAGGTTGGATGAACACTGGAGTTCATTCTCTTGCCAGAATACCATGCCATCTTCATCAACTGTAGCAATGAGCAAGGCCCTGATGGGTAGGGCCTGAGGGCCTGATGGGATATCTTGGTAGGAGGAGGAAAGAGTTGGGATCATGGGTACCTAGTCTATCCAAGATATCCAGGTCTATCCAAGATTGGACGGGGCATTCAGGAGAGAACCCTGGATTACCTAGAGGAGTGGCCCAAGTAAAATTTGGACACCCAGAGTAGAAATAGTTGGAGGGATCAATGGGTTCAGATGGGTATAGTTGCTTGTTTTGCTTAGGGATGAGAGGTAGCTGTTAGTCTATCACAGATTCCAGGGCATAGAATCCTGGGTAAAGCTGAGGGGACTCACTCCTAGTGCCATTCTCTCATCTACTGCTTCCTGGCCACACATCCTGGGCAAGAAGGAAGGTATCTCCAAGGGAATGTAGGTGTAGTTTATTGTTTTCTTTTCATCCATGAAACTGAGTCTTCCAGTCCCTCAGGATGGCCCCAGCTGTTGGTCCATTCCCAGGATACGGACAGGGATAAAGGAATGGAGGAGGAGGCATAGGGTGTATTCCATTAGGCCAGCCAGTGGGCAGTAGCCAAAGCACCCAGGTGCAGCTGTTTCTCCTCTAGGGACTCCAGCTTAATGTATTAATGTTCCAGTTCTGCTTTAGTTCATCTTATAAAACATAAATGTCCCATTTCCAGTTGAGTTACTAAGGATTTTTTTTCTTCCTTCCTTCCTTTTTTTTTTGGTTAATTTTATTTGGTTCGTGGTTCAATTTAAAAACTAATATTTGGATTCGGTTTTGGGTACAGCAAAGTTAAGTGGCTTGTTCCACTTTCTGGTTCATGATTCAGTTGAGATCTCTAGTTCAACATCGTGTCGCTGCTGTGGGCCGAGCCAGATACTGCTGCCTGAGAGAGCCCCAAAAAGGACTTGAGAAGAGCTTCTCAGCAGCAATCTCATGCTTATTCACCTCAATCTGTGCTGCCTAATCCTGGGGCAAAGCTAATCCTAATACAGCCCACAGAGGGGGGATTCACACAACTATGCTTCTGGTCCCATAGCAATAATAATATTAACAATAACAATGATGGTGACTGCCATTTATAAGGCACTTAGTATCTGCCCGGCTCTGTGCTATGCTATTTATATGCATTATCCAATGCTAAGAAGTAAGTACTATTATTGTCCTCATTTTATAGATGAGGAAATTGAGGCCCAGAGAGGTGAACAACATGTCTAAGATTAAACAGCTAGGTAGTGGTAAGGTCAGCATAGGATGGAAGGAAAAGCTAAATTTCAGATACTGTTAGGGATATAGATCAGGATATGAGGTAAGCACTAAACTTATTCATGTTTTACCTGCAAGCAATCACGGGTGCAGAGAAATTCTATAACTTGCCCAAGCTCACAGGTAGCAAGTGTCAATTAAGCACAGTTTCCTCCTCCTGTCTTTCCCATCCTGTGTTAGTGTTCTTTTTGAAAAGCAGAGCCACTTAAACTTCTGCTAAAGATGAGTAAGATTTGAAACAAGTAGGGTGAAACCTCACTTTGCCTTGATTAGAGGCAAGTCCAGTGGTTAATCAAAAGTTTGAATTACAGGCTATGTGAAAAGAAATGCTGTTTTCATCACTTGCAAATACATACAATCACTGGAACCAAGCTGCTAGGACTCTTCAGGGAACCTGCTTTAATGAATAGCGAAGAATGATTTGTACTTAGGACATTGACGATTGCCCAGAGGACTCCCAAGAAATCTGCCCTCTGCAGTACTTTAAACTCCTCTCCCCTGTAATCTTGCTCATGGTCATTTGCTCAGCAAGCCCTTCCATCGGAGATGCTGTAAAGGTAAACTGCAATCAGACCTCCGACACAATCCTCACCAATTCCAAATCAGTGAAATCTGAATCAGCAAGGACATACTGAATATGGGGGGTGGTGTCGGGAATAGAAAAAGCCATTTCATGTGTTTGGGTTGATACTGGCTCATGAGTTCCAGTGAGGAGGCAGGGCTTGTTGGCAAGCACTGACCACTCCCATCTCTGATTGTTCTGCAGGCCTGATCTTAGTCATTTACTTCTTCTTCTATGCCTCGCTGGCTGCTGTGATCACCCTCTGCATGTACACGCTATTTCTGACCATCAGTCCTTACATGCCGACCTTCACTGAGAGGGTGAAACCTCCTGGTGAGTGCCCAAATGCCCTGTGCTGTCAGAACTTGCTGGACAGAAATCTGCTTGCACTGCATGTTCAGCCTCAATTAACTTTGGCTCTTCCCGGTAATGACTTAGGGATTCAATTATTAAGAGTAAAAGTAAAATGGTACTTGGCAAATTATGATCCTTTTCATTTTGATTGCCTGGGGGGAAATGGTTTCATGGGAATTGATAAAAACAAAATTATCCCAGGAATGGGTTAATATATCCAAGACCTGTTTTCATTGCCAGGAGTTATGATCAGACCCTTCGCCCATAGCCTTAACTTCAACTTCAACGTTTCTGAACCTGACACTTGGCAGCATTATGTGATTAGCCTAAATGGCTTTCTCCAGGGTAAGTAAGTACCTCTGAATGGTGGAAGTCACTTTCGAAAGGTAATGAGTGGGAATTCAAAATTCAAAATTCACCTGGCCCAGAAATCCTGCTCTTACTAACCCCAGCCCATCCTGGTCCTTCCTTAACTTGCATACCCCTCAGCACCTGCAGTTACAATAAAAACTTTGTGATTGTATGTTGCTTGAAAGCATATGTCTTGCCAGTGGGTTTCAGCCCCAGGGCAAGTTCGCTATGGATTCAGTGTGACCAAAGCAATTGACAGCAAAACGTTCTTGGGGTGAAAGGGTTATACCCAACTTTATTTCCAGGTGTCAGGTCAGTCACTAGTATCCCATTCACTCAGAGCAAGTCTGTGTGCAGCAAGCCAGTCTCTGCTTCTGGGCCCCTCTGTCCGCACAGTCGTCCCACACAGCCGTCCTCTGGGCCTCTGTCCTCGGCGCTGCCACGACTCCAGCCTCTGCTCTGCTCTCCTGCAGCCTTGCAGCCCTGCCACCGTGTCGCGTGCAGAGCACTGGGCGGAGCTCTTTTTATAGAGTCAACAGCCATGTATTGCCCACAGATGTGCAGTGAGCAAGTCAATCATGGCCAGGTGAGAATCCTGGCCACAGGAACTCTCATTTTATCCACAGCATATAAGCCAACTCTCTGGGGAGATGACAAGTTCAATGGGGCAGAGAACCTGTTTTCTCTTCTTGAACACCCTATAGCACCCCCATTGTGTCCTGGCACATCCAGATGGCTCAATAACAATCAATTATGAAAGATAATTCTGTAGAAGATTGTATATCAATGATACTTCAATTTAAAAAAAAGATAATTCTGGGGGCAGGTAGAAGTGAGAAAGAGGAGTGTTCTCCAAAACTGGAAGATCCCTGACTCCTATACTTTCTCAAGGTAAGAGAATTAATTTCTTGGAGATGGAAGGAAGAGAGCAAGGGTGTTTAATTTAACAGCATTCCAGAAGGGGGTAGAGGAAGAACCTCTGGGTGGCAGTTCATTCCAACATTTTGATCACAAGTGTATTCAAGTTATCTATCTCTGTAGCGCCATCAGATACATTTTCAGGGACAAATGAATGGCTAGTTGAGAAGCTCTTCCACAGGATGAAAACTGAGGTAGCAGCTTGGTTAAGGTTAAACACAGACGGGCACTGTGTTTACCCAGCTATCAAAGAGGAGCCCCAGTGGGTTTACATTGCTGCACCTATTACTTGTGGAAAAAAGCCAGTTAGACTGGTTTGGTTGTCCTGGCCTGGCTGAAGTTGGGGCACATTTAGCCAGTAGATGGTGAAGTGAATTAAGAGGAAAACAATCCCTTAGGTAATGGGAAGTATTGTGTAAATGCACAAATTGTGTCATTTAACTTTAACCCTGTATCTTGCCACTGGGTTTCAGCCCCAGGCAAGTTCGCTATGAATTCAGTGTGATCAAATAAAATGACAGCAAAACGTTCTTGGGGTGAAAGGGTTATATCCAACTTTATTTCTAGGAGGCAGGTCAGTCACTAGAATCCCATTCACTCAGAGCAAGTCTGTATGCAGCAAGCCCGTCTCTGCCTCTGGGCCCCTCTGCCCGCACAGCTGTCCTCTGGGCCTCTCTGCACACTCATCCGGCACAGCCATCCTCTGGGCCTCTGTCCTCTGCTCTCCAGCAACCTCGCAGCCCTGCCACCATGTCACCCAGAGCACTGGGTGGAGCTCTTTTTATAGAGTCAACAGCCATGTATTGCCCACAGGTGTGCAGTGAGCTAGTCAACCAGGGCCAGGTGAGAATCCCGGCCACAGGAACTCTCATTTTATCCACACCCTGCATAGCAGAGTCTATCATCCCCATTTTACAAATGGGGGAACTGAGGCCCAGAAAGGAGAAGTAACATAAGCAAAGTCTCCCAGCAGCAGAACCAATGTTTAAGAACCAATGTTCTTAACACCCTTCTTACTGAAAGTGATCCAGAGACGAGCAGCATCAGCATCACCTGGGAGTTTGTTAGAAATGTAGACTCTCAGGCCCCACCAGAGACCTATTGAATCAGGATCTGCAGCTTAACAAGATCCGCAGGTGATATGGGTGAACTTTAAAGCTTCAGAAGTGCTGCTTTTCATAATTCTTTGTTGTTGCCATTTCACAAGGACTTAGAAACTCAGCTTCCTATAAGTAATGCTCAGCATTATTCTGGGTAAGTCTGAGCTTCAGATTCCTCATCTTTAAAATAAGGGGGAGTGGGTTCTTTCTGAGTTCATGTAGTTCCATTTTTGACCCTTCAAAAATGTTTTGGACATCATAGCCAGAATACTATTTTCTTTTCTTTCAAAATGCTTGTGAGCTATTGCAAAAATGTATTGCCAGAATTTCTGCTGAGGAAATCCCTTTGAGAAGCTAGTAGATGGAGAAATACCAATTCTGACCTGTTGACAAAGGTGGAGAACATTAGGAAAAGCACTGGGCTTTTAGTTCCTAAGTGTAGATAATATGCCCTGCTTAAAAGGAACACAACTCTGAAATAGACATCCCAGAGTATCAATTTCATTCCCATGAGGACTGGGATTTTGCAATAAGGGTCATGCCCATGTCACATTATTTTTAATGGAACTACCTCAAAAGAAACAATGAGCACATGATTAGATCTTCTATTTAGAAAGTTAATATTTGAACATAGATCTTGTTCTTAAAAAAAAAGAGTAAAACAAAGCCTTGAATTGAACGTAGCTTTGTCAAAGGAAAAATAAAGGCTCAGGCATAACTAGAATAGCTTTGTAGTTCCCAGTTGCTTCTCAATAATACCAAACCCAAATCACAACATGTCTAATGAGGATTCAGCAGTACATTTAGAGTTTTGCTGGTGGTTCATAGGCGCACAATGTTCTCTGAAAAACTGAGCTACGTGGAACATGAATGCATGGGGGCTGGATCTAGCAGGATGAACTGGATGCCATCATTTAGAACCAATCTGGAAATAAAGCAGTAATTCTCAAAGCCCAGTTCTATGGCATCTAGTAGCCCCCAAAGTCAGCTCACAGATAACCCCTTTCAGCCCTCTCCCTGACATGTGTGCCTTAGATACATGTTACATTCCATCCAACGTATAAGGATACTAACTTTGAGTGCCTTAAGTCTCAGTAGACAAGATCTCATTCCCCCACCCTCTTGGTGGAGACCCTGTGGTTATCACTGGTTTTTGTCTTTCAACCTAAGCTTCTATTTTGCAGTACTAACTTCCCTCTGTGAAAAAGCAGCTGATTTATCTCTTCCTCCTCCTCCTCTTCTTCCTCCCCTTCCTCCTGTTTCACAACACACACTTGTCACACTCGTGCATCAGGTGCCTCTCATTGATCACAAAGGGAGCTGTTTCCTAGGCTGACTTAAACAGATTTAACCCAGGAGCTTCACCTCCTTATATAAACCATGCCTTGACATGATTCAGTCCCTCTTTCAAAATCTCTCTACTATGTGCCTATTCCTCTTCCGTAAGTAGAAGAGGCAGCCCTCCAAGTTTACAATTTACTATATATGAAAAGAAATAATGGCAAATAGAGAGAAGTTATAAAATGACTAACATAGGACCCAGAGACAGATATTCAGAAGTTCCAAGGGAATGAGAAGCAAGGAGGCAGGCAATGAAAGTGAGCTGAGGGGACTAGCCCGGAAGGCTTCCTGGAGAGATGTGGCTGGTGAAGGACCGGGGGCACCTGATGCCAAGACATGGGGCCTAGGACAGACTGAGTGGGCTTTTAGAGGTCCACAGCAAGCTGGAGAAGGAAACCAGAGAGGAGTACTACTGAAATCCTGGCCTTTCCCTACAGCACCTGTCTAATGTAACACTTTGCCACACTTTAGGTTACAATGACAGTCTTCAAGAGGAAATGAATGTCGATTGTCCCCCGGGGCAGTACTTCATCCAAGAGGGTAATGAGGATGAGGACAAGAAGGCCTGCCAATTTAAACGCTCCTTCCTGAAGAACTGCTCTGGCCTGGAGGACCCAACTTTTGGCTACTCTACTGGACAGCCCTGCATCCTTCTAAAGATGAACCGGGTATACTGGCCCTTGGTACTCCAGCGATGATAAGTGGATGAGCTGTGTAGGAGAGCTCTGGCCACTCCATTTCTCTTGGGCTCTGTCCTGACACACTGCAAGTTTGGCCATTTTTACTGACTGCATCAGTAATACAAAGACCGGACAAACCTATCAAGCAGTAATTCCTTTTCCTCCCTGAACACTTCCTATTTCCATTCTCCCTCACCCCCTAAACCTGTCCTTTCATGCCCTCTGTCAGGAATGAGATCCTGCACTGTTTGGAACGGGTCTAACAGAGAGGTGGGGTGGGGGATAATTCTTATATCACAAGAAATGCAGTAGAAATGCATTTTCCTTCTTTCCTGCCATGCCTAAGGTGTGGCAGAGCCTTACCAGGCACACCCTTAAAACCAGAAAGTCTTTACATATTCAAAGTTATCCTGCTGCGGTTACCACTGTATGAATATCAGGCACAAATACGATAAGGAGTAAGTTGAACTGCAGGAGCTCTGAAAATACATTGCATCTTCTGCTTTTTATAACCTGAGAGGGAAAAAGAGATAAAGCTTATGCCTAAGGAAGGGATGACCCAAGGGGGATTTAGACAAGCCCCATTTTTACTGTCAAATCTGTTTGTTTGTTTGTTTGTTTGTTTTTAAGTGCTGGTTTTCTTTTGATAGATTGTAGGCTTTCGTCCTGAGCTTGGAGATCCTGTGAAGGTTTCTTGCAAAGTTCAGGTAAAGTGCCTTTTTGCGTGAGCATTGTTAGCACATCTGTTTCATGCTAAAAGATGGTTCATCCCCTGCAAGGGCATTACCATGGATGGTTAGCTATGGGTTAGGGAAAGGATCAATCTTATCATAACTATACACCTTCCTTTAGTACTTTCAGACCTCCCCATTTCCGGAAAGCATTCATGTGTGTTTTCATGTGTAGTGTGTGTGTGTGTGTGTGTGTGCACTGATTTATACCTGTGAAAGCCAAACACTGAACCTCAGGCTAAGGGCCACAGCAGGGAACAACAATGTGCCAAGTCATTAATTGGGATTCTGTTTACACTTTTGCTTTTAGCTCTAATTACTTATTTCTTTGAACTAAACAAACAGCTTTCATTAGAGTCATTAGTCCTTGCTTTTAAAAAACTGAATTTCACTTTTTGCAGCAATGACCAGTTGCGCTGGGTGTTGCAATAACAAATGACTACAAGGGAAGTATAAACAGAACCCATTAATATGCTAATTAACTGTCCTTCGAGGGACCATTAACTCCTATCTCATCTGCACCAATTAGGTCCTTTGTAGGAAAAAGCCCCAGATCTTGGGTTTGCATCTTTAACTGGCAGTAGCTCCCTCCTGTTTGATGTCAACTGCACCTGCAGCCCTGGACAATTGTCTTGCAAACGGATGAAATCAGGCAATCCTCAGCACCAGAAATACAGCTCAAAATGCCAGTCTTGATGGTGGCAGATCAGAAAGCAGCAAAAGGCAGCATTCATTCATCCAGTAGTTCACATTCAGCAAGCATTGATTGATCACTTATATACCAGGTACACTGACTGCTGGGAGTTGAGAGTGCCAAGATGAATATGACTCTATCTCTGAAATCAGGTCAATCAAGTACTACAGGTGCTATGAAACAGGCAGTGGGGATGCTTAAGAGGGAAAGGTTAGTTCCACATAGGAAGTGGTACACTGAAGATGAGTTCTGAAAGATCAGGCAGTGTTTGTCAGGTAAACAAGGTAGGAAGGACATTCATCCTGTTCACAAGTACATGAGTATATATAAATGTACACACATGTGACTACAGTCTAATGGGATTGGTTCCACAGACCATTCCTGAAAATTTATTTTCACTGCTTTTTAGAAGGGTATGTAAATAAATCATAAAGACCAACTCAGTCTTAAACTAACATATCAAGTGGATTGAGCGCTGCTTATAGTTCCCTAGTAGAAAACATTCACATTTCAGCTTACACCAAACCTTGCTGAGAACTGTTAAAAAAATTACTAAGATCTTTATAAATTCTACAATAATCAATACTGGTCAAGCCCACACCCACTTGTGCAAATCAAGGATAAGGTAATTACCAGAATAAATTGAGAAGAGCTCAGTTTACACAGAATGATTATACTATATTGGTCGCAATATAATCACGTGGCCCTAGTGAGTGATTTGCTAGCAGTGATGCACTGTATTTGTTCCTTGTTCGTCTCCAGACTTCTGCTCCTCAGGGCAAGCCAAATGCATAGGCAGAATGCATAGTCTCCTCCCTGACATGATATGAGTGTAAACTTGTTTATTTAATCATTTCCTGTACTAGGCCCTTCTTGCCTATCCTCCTGACTCTACCTACTGTAATTAAGCACTACAGAGAATGTGATCAGAGAAATGAATTTAGGTGAGCCAGCTGCAGGCTGTGTTCCTCTGCATGAGGTCCCTGTGCACCTGGCCTGACTTCCAATAGGACTGAACCCACAGTGTGTGAGTTGTGGAATGAGATTTACTAAGCATGTGCAACTTACACCTCCCTCAGCTCCCAAGCCCAAGACTGGATGCCAGGCCAAGTATGCATCTTTGGAGAGGGGCTGGCATAGTAGCCAGAGCAGCACCACATACTGCAACCCCTTTGGAGCCCTTCTGCCTTGGTCCCCCAGGAGCCTGCACAGAGCCATACTGAGCCCCTTTGGCCTCCTCAGTCCATGCCTTCCATTCAGTATTCTTTGAATCGAAAAGCCAAGGCACAGTCTGTCCCTGGAAATGCTCCTCTGGAGATAGGTCTGGGCTGAACTATGCCCCATTCTGCTTTCGTGGGCTTCCTGGGACAGTTGGTTGTGGATCACACAGAGATTTTACCTGGGGCTCAAGCTTGAACCCCCCTGAGTGACCCAGCACCCCACATATACCTCCTTTTATTTACAGAGAGGTGATGAAAACGACATTCGATCCATCAATTACTACCCAGAGTCGGCTTCTTTTGACCTCCGCTACTACCCTTACTACGGCAAACTGACTCATGTAAGCCTGTACTCACTTTAGTCTTTGCTGTCAGCACTCGGAGACAAAGGAAGGGCTGTCTGGGATCTATACGAATTAGGGAGCAACAAGTAGTAACAGGGGTGAGTAGCTGCTTGCTGAGACTAGGAGCTCCCTCTACCCATTCCTATCACAACCACTTCTTTGCACATCTGAAGTAATCTCAGATATGGTCTAGTCTAATGCCTCCAGTTTACAGATGGAGCAGTTAGGGTTCAGAGAGAGGAAATGACTTGCCCAACATCACATAGCTGATTAGTGGTAGAGCCAGGAGCAGACAGATCACCACTGTCCTTGCACTCATTTATGCCGAAATAACCACACCACCCTGCTTCTCCCATTTGGAGCCTGACAGCAGTAAAGGCTTTATCTCCAGCATAGATTTGATAGATACAAGTTCTGGTTGACATTCATGGTCTGATATCCAGAAAATCATATCATGCTGAGTTCAAATTGGTTTTCCTCTGAGGACAATCAGACATCTGACTGTGACTTATGAGACAAATGCAGTTTGCCCACTGTCCCAGGGCAGAGAGAGCACGTCAGTTGCTTTAACCATTTGTGACTTGGCATCCTGGAATTTACTCAGTTCTCTCTGTGGAGGTTATCCCATCCTATTACTCCCTCACATCCCCTCCCCTCCTCAGACTTAGAATTCACTCTTCTTCCACCTACAGGTTAACTACACCTCCCCGCTGGTGGCAATGCACTTCACAGATGTGGTGAAGAACCAGGCAGTGCCCGTGCAGTGCCAACTGAGGGGCAAAGGCATCATAAATGACATCATCAATGATCATTTTGTGGGTAGGGTAATCTTTACTTTGAACATAGAAACCTAAGAACTTCAGGGAGCCACTCCTACTAGTTCTGTTTCAGTTTTATTTCATGTTACCCCTGGTAGCACCTGAACTCTTTTTCTTCAATCAGGACACAGCCAGATGGAAACCTAAGACAGCAGATCATCTTTCCTTGCCTTTGACATATGCATAAAATGGCATTGGTGGGAGCTGTTTGATTTTTTAAAGGTAGTCTGTTCTGATGACAAATAGATTTTATTAATTTCCTTTCCCCCCACCTAAAACTAAAACTCATTCTTGCTTGTAGAAGCCTCACTGTAGTATAAACATAGTATCCGATAAAATTAACAATGGCTACAAAGGAGAATTTCTATGATGATTTTAAGTTCATTGTGTTCTAAAATGTTGTTGTTTTTAGAGGTGAGATTCCTCCCAACCAGGCTAACTAACCTGTTTTTAAACCTGCTGGCAAGGTCCCTCCCTAGCAATCACCTATCAGACCAACCCAGAATACACCTAGGGCTGCCATATCGAGGGAACTCTATATATCCAGGGATGCTTGAGAAACTGCCTGCCTCTCCTGGGAAACTAAATATTGATTTAAAGACTAGGTTATCTTCCACTGGGACAGCAAGCAATGCTAACTGGATATTGTTCTAGGATAGAGATGAAGACCTTTCCTATGACGTTTTTTTGGGAGGTGGGGCCCACTGAAACTGGGGAGAATACCTACCATGTAGATGTGATTGGTATTTGATTCCTTGCTCTGTGGTGTGACCGTCTAAAGGCAAACATTCCTGCAAATAGGTTTGTCGCAGCTTCAGGCAGAGGCGAAACAAGGAAGAATATTCTACCAGCTAATTCTTTCTGGGCTGTTTGTTTAATAGCAGTGTGACATTCTCTGAGGCCATCAGGGATGGGTGTGTTAACACCCAGCTATAGCTCTAGGGATTGAAATCAGGGTCTGCCAACTGATACAATGTAAGATTTCTGATACAGAGAGCTCCTGCTAGGCCACCCTAAATCCAAGGCGCATTAGCCAGCTTTTCATTTGCTTAAAAAATAATATGAGGCAGATGTTTATCCAGGTTGTGGGTCAGCCGTGCTGCTTCATCCTATATTTGGCCATGTGACCATTCCACTGCTTCTTGACACCTCCACCAGGAGGAGGGATGTGACAAGGAGGAAAGGTGAGCATTGGCGAACAGCAATGTCTCAGGGTCCAAAGCAAGCTTAAATGCCACCAAGAAGCATCCAGAGTCCGAATCTCCTCTATAATATTTACCTTCTGCCAAAACAGGGAACTGGCAGTCTGCTGCTGAAGACAAGTAAAGAAGTAACTATGGACGATATAGTGTGACAAGAATGACAAAACTAGTATGTGGAAATGCTGTGGAAACATAAGGAAAAGTAACTAACTAGAGCTGAGAAAGTAGCAGAGGAAATTTCACAGGCAAAGTCACAATCACGGAAGAAGACTGTGGTATGTTTGGGTAACTGCGAGTAGTTCACTTAACGGGAGAGTAAAGGGCTCCAAGGAATGGCAGGGAGTGGCAGGGAACTGGGCTAGAGAAACATACAGGTACTGAAAGAGGACTTGGAGTTTTATTCGGGAGGTGAAAGGAAGTCATTAAAGTATTTTAAGCAGGGAATCTTCGTGATCATATTGGTATTTTAGAAAGAGCACTTTCACAGTCACAATGTGAAGGGTAGATTGGAAAGTGGCAAGACGGGGGAAGAGGCAATGAGGGGAAGGAGGAGTCAGGAATGACTCCAAGGTTTTGAGTTTGGCTAGAACTAGTGGGATGGTGATATTGTTGATCAAGACTGGGAATACAGGAGAGAAGCAGGATTGGAGAGGAAGATGCTGAAATCAATTTTGGACGTTTTAGGCTTGTGATTTCTGTTGGTCAGACATTGATGTGGAGATGTAAATATAAGTTGGGTTGGGAAGAAGGAAATCTGAGAACAAAAGTAACATTTGCTTACGTGAACTCTAAGAAATTCTAAGCTACTTAATCTTGGGAATCTGAGCCTGTGATGTAAACACATCACACCAATTTAGTCTCTCAGATAGTGATTTTCTCTTGGCTTGTAGTGAAAAGGACTGCTGCTGCCCTTTGAAGTTTCCTTCCCAGACACCTTCCAACTCTTATCAACAGAGGAGAGGGGGGCTGACCGCTACTAACAAGGGATAAAAGATATGCTACAGATCTGTGGAAAATATAAAAACAATGGCTCTGTCTCCTCCCAACCCCTTTCCTTACCAAATTCGCTTTTCAAAACTAACCTTCGAAAAGAAATAAACAAAATGCTGTTAGACAATAACTTCAAAACCATTTAAAAATTATCTCAAGTAATCAAACTTCAAGATTCAGTAGTAAAGGATAATAGAACATTACATCTGGAAAGGATATTAGAGAGTGTTTAGCAAAAACAACCTGCATTGCATCTGACTCCAGGTCCAGTGCTCTTTCTACTCCGAGCTGCTGCTTACCAGGAAATACCATCTTTTTAAAAATCAATGAATGATATCCCAAACATTTTGAAACATATGTTAAATTGAGTTAGAATAGTTAACATTTCACAGGAATTCAACTACTGGTGCTATATTTCATACATAATATATTATCCTGTTAAATACATTGACTATTAACTAGACAAGGAATTATGAATCTTTTGCCATACTGTATTTCTCATTCAATGGAATCCATCATGTCCACAGTTTCAAAGCAGCATTGAATAGTACTAGGATAGTTTGGGTTGTCAGCTGGGACATGAAAAAAAATAGCTTTATTATACAGAACTGAGTATTATAATATATTCATTAAAATTGAATTCTAACAGTTCAATATACTTCTGGTGGATTAATTTAAGTAGTCCCCCATATTGTGCTGTACCAGGATTTGACATGTATACCATCTGTTGCAATGTGTTTGGTTTGACTTCATTGTCAAAGAGAAATACTACTTCCAAATGCCTTCCTAGTTTTGTCCATGCTAGGTCTATGATTTTTTACCTCTCACACCTCTGAAATCATTATCCTAAAATAATCTTTCTTAGGCATCTATTTGTTGGGAATCTTCATGTAGAAAACATTAATATTGTCTTGGGGAATTTATTGTCAACAACAATAAATTAAAATACAAAAGAAGTGTATGATTTCCTCTTTCTAGACTGTACCACTGATTTTCCCACAGATATATTGGGCAGCCATGAGGGTGGAAAACTTGCCAATTGACAGCCTATAAGTTCAAGACTTTTTTTCTTCTTCTCCCCCTGCCACCTTCTTTTGACTCTTGGGGTTTACCCATAGAAGGATGAAACTAAAAGTTGTTTCATTTCCAAGTATTTTTCCTTTTGCATCTCCATGTTCCAGTTTCTCGGAAAACTACTTTGTCAGAACAAACTCCTTTCCTCATCAAAGATGAGTTCTGGTATAAATTGTTCTGTTTGTGTAGGAAAGAAACTTTGAGGTGAGGAAAAGAAACCACAATCCAAAGAGGAACTGCAGTTGCTTGATGAAAGCCTGGCTAAGTGACTTCAGGGCACAATCTGGCCACGAACTGTCTCCCAGAGCAAATCTCTAGTGGTAATTGCAATTAAAGACAGAAATATTTCCACTCCCCTTTTTTGACTCAGAGACTAGGCTGCAGCAGGAATGCCTTCTTTCCTTGAAAGCTGCCCTGGCCTAAGGTCCGCTACACTGATATGGTTTGATTTGAGGGGAGGTCCATGATCCCAATACATTTCCCCTATCTAGGTTCTTCATTAGAGTCATTTTCTTTCCTGACTTCCTCTGAAAATATTCAAAAATGATAAAGTAACTTAACCAAATCATACAGAAGTATGATTTACACTGTGATTTATCAAGGCAGAAAACAGAGGTGTGGATGTTTGTGTGTGTTTGTTGAGGGGTGGGGGCTAGGGTTGGGGGATAGAATGGATGGAGGCAAAGGGCAAGGAAAAAGTTGAAAGGCTGAAAAGCCACCTATTTCACAAAGTTTTTAGTTGCAGACTAAGAGGGAAGGAACGCTGATGGGGAATCCAAAAGGTTTAAGAAGGATGTGATAGGCTCTCAGTCTGACAGCTTAGTCTCCAGGATAGACTTACTTGCAGGCCCCTGTATGGCCACAGCATCAGTCAGAGTTCCAACAAGAAACAGCACACTTGACAAAATGGAATAATTGGAAGGGGAGGTTACTTCAAAGAGATTATTTATGAATATGTAGATATAGGGAACCAAAAAGAATAGCACAATAACCCAGGCTAGTACAAGCTAAACTCTTGCTTTCCCTAGACCCTAAGGGACAGGGGTAGGAGGTGGTTCCTAGAACCCAGAAGGACTAAATGCTGAATGCATTGGGAGGAGCAGTAATGTTGTTGAAGGACTAAGCTAGCCCAAAATAACCTTCTAGGGAGGAAAAAAGAAAAATAAACATGTTGACTCCTGCTGGTAATTCCCATTGGCCAAACCCAACTGAAAAAAGCCAGAAGTAAGGAAGTGCATTGATGTGGTCTATACAGGTCAGCCTCCTAAGGAATAAAGTAGGATGGAGAAGGTTAGACAGTGCATTTGGAAGGACAAAAAGGAGATATTTAGCATAACCACCAAGTGGAGATTCTGTGGATATACTCAGAGCCTAGTACAGTGCTGGAACCATCTACAGAACCAACTCCAGTGATGGAAGTAATTTTATCTTCATGCATTCTCTGCTGCCTGGCTATGGGGTCAGAGGCATTAGGCTTTCTTAATACCTATAGGAACTCTTTTCTCTATTCTTTAATATTCATTCCCTTTTCAAATTTCTTCCTTTGTACTTTCCTAATCTGGTATCCTTTGGCATATCATTTAGAACTCTTTTGCTTGTAAATGACAAAACAAATGAATAAAACATTTCAAATTGACTTAAGGATATAAAGGAATTTACCAAATCACATATTGAAAATCACATACTTTGGCTTCAGGCACATCCAGGTCCAAGAACTCAAAGACTTCATTAGGAACCAGTTTTTCTCCACCTCTCTCTTGTGCTCCCCAGCATGTTGGCTTCATCCTCAGGCTCCACAAATCAAGATAGCCAAGATGGCTGACAGCAGTACCAGGCTTACTTTCTTAAAGGCTAATGTTCACCTGATGAGATAGCTTCTCTTCCCCGATAGTCCAGTTAAAAATTCTGAGTCTCTCATTGGCTTGAATTGGATCCTGTGCCCACCCCTGAACCAATCTTTGTGACCACAGGGAGAAACTTCTCCAGTTGGCCAGGCTTGAGTCACATGCCCATTTCCTGGAGCTTGGGGTGATATCAATACCACTCAACCTGCCTAGATTGAAAATCAAGAAGAAGGGATCCTGCTGGGGAAAACTGAACTGATGTTACCAAAGAAAGGCAAATGGATGTCAGATGGAAGATAGAATCAATGTCCACTACATTTTGTCAGTCTCCTGTTAAACCCTACAACTATTTTATGGTTGTATTTGAGCTTAAGATTAAAATCTTTTCAAATTTTTAACAATCAGATCTCCAAAAAGCAGCACTTTCACTCTGCTCTAGCATTTTGTGGACACATTTTGCTCAGAAGAAAAGAAGGATGGTGAGAGAAAAGAAGCCACCTTGATTTATTCTGTTTTGCCTTTACCAAAGGAAATTCTGCAACTCAAATCTGAATTAGAAATCTGTCTTGCATGGAACATTTTCTTTCCAGAATAGAACACAACCTTCATAAGACAGTTAACTTGAATCAGAAAACTATTTAACTTCCATCAAGAACAAACATGTTCATAAATGAGAGCCAACATGAGGATGATATCCTTTCCCTCCTCTCTAATACTCCAACTGATGATATCACCTTGTCTACAGAAAATCCTAAGGAATCTACTAAAACACTGTTATAGCTAATAAACAAGTTACCAGGGTTGCAAGAGATCATTTGCCTTTTTATAAACTAGCAGTGAACAATTTAAAAATGAAATTAACAAAATAATTCCATTTACAACAGCATAAAAAAAGAATGAAACATTTGGGAAAGATTAACAAAAGAAATGCAAGACTTGTATGCTGAAAACTATAGAGTATTGTTGAAAGAAAGAATTAAATGAAAGGCACCTGTGTTCATGGATTAGAAGATTAATATTGCTAAAATGGCAGTACTCCCCAAATTGATCTACATATTCAATATAATCTTTTCAAAATCACAACTTTGTTTTCTTTAGAAATGGGCAAAATGATCCTAAAATTCATATGGAAATGTAAGGAACCCAGGAAACCAAAATAATCTTGAAAAAGAAGAATAAATCTGGAAGACTCATATATCCCAATTTTAAAACTTATTACAAAGCTAGAGTAATTAAAACAATGTGGTACTGTGATGAGGATAGACATATAGATCAATGGAATAGAATTGAGAATCCAGAAATAAACCCATACATCTACAGTCAATTGAATTTTTAACAGTGCTACATCCACTCAATAGTCAAAGAATAGCCTCTTCAACAAATGGTGCCGGGACAATCCACATGCAAAAGAATTAAATTGGACCCATACCTTACACTATATGTAAAAACTCCAAATGAATCACAGATCTAAATGTAAGTAAGAGCTAAAATTATAAAACCCTTAGAAGAACACATAGACATAAATCTTTGTGACCTTGAATTAAATAATAGTTTCTTAAACATAACATCAAAAGCACAAATGACAAAAGAAAAATAGATAAAATTTACCTCATCAAAATTAAAGACTTGTGCTTCAATGGACACTAAAAGGAAGTGAAAATATGACCCACAAAATGGGAGAAAATATTTGCAAATTATATATCTGATAAGGAACTAGTATCACTAAATATACAAAGAACTCTTACAACTCAACAATAAGAAGACAAATAACCCAATTTAATTGTGCAAGGAATCTAAAGAGATGTTTCTCCAAAGAAGACATATAAATGGCTAATAAGCATATGAGAAGATATTAAGCATCACTAGTCATTAGGGACATGCAAATCAAAACCACAATGAGATTCCACTTCATAGCCACTATGATGGCTACAATAATTTTTTTAAAAGAACAATAACAAGTGTTAAGGATGTGGAGAAATTAGAACCTTCATACACCACTGGAGAGAATGTAAAATGGTGAAGTCACTTCTGAAAAACAATTTGGTGGTTCTAAAGGTTAAACATAGAGTTTACGATACGAACCAGCAACTCCTAGATACACACCAAAGATAATTGAAAACGTATGTCCACTCAAAACATGTGCATGAATGTTCATAGCATTATTCATAATCAAAAATTGGAAACAACCGAAATGTCTGTCAACTGATGAATGGATAAACAAAGTATGGCATATCCATACAATGCAATGTTATTTAGCTGTAAAAGGAATGAAATACTGAACTATACTATAGTATGGATAAATGAACCTCAAAATATTATGCTAAGTGAAAGGAACCAGACACAAAGTCCACATGTAAGATTCCATTTACATGACATGTTCAGAATAAGCAAACTCATAAAGAAAAGCATAAAAGAGATCAGTGGTTGCCAGGAGCTGGAAGGAGGGGGAATGGAGAGTGACTGCTAATGAGGATGAGAATTTATGTATGTATGTATGCATGTATGTATGTATGTATCTGTCTATCTATCTATCCTATCTATCCATATATAGAGGGAGGGAGAGAAATTTCTGGGTCTTACGGCAACTTTAGGTTTAATTCCTATGATTTCTTCACATAGTGTTTTACAGCCATAGAGCTAACATTTAGATCTATGACCATTTTGAGTCAACACACTATTTTAATTACTACAGCTTTGCAGAAGGTTGTGAAATTGGGAAGTGTGAGTCTTCCAAAATTGTTCTTTTTATTGGCTTTTTTGTATCCTTTTAATTTCTGTATAAATTTTTGGATATTTGTCAATTTCTGCAAGAAAAGTCCTTTTTCAATTGTTGATTTAAGGTTTACAGCAGGTTTTCTCAACCTCAGCATTGTTGGCATTTTCGGCCAGATAATTCTTTGTTTTTGGGGGACTGTCCTGTGCATTTTGGTATGTTTGGCAGCATCCTCTGGCTTCTATTCAATATATATCAGTAGTAACACTTCCAGGTTTGGAAACCAAGAATGTCTCTGGATATTGTTGAATGTCCTCCAGGGGTCAAAAGCACTCCTGATTGAAAACCACCAGTTTAGACTTTAGAACTTTAACATCACAATCTACCTTTAAGTTATATTATACAATTTCATGCATTGTATATGAAAGTTACTGTAGTATACTTCCATTTCTCATTTTTGGGCCTTTCTTCTATTGTTATCATATGTTTTACTTATTCATAGGTAATAAGCCACATGGCCC